GTTTAAATCAATATAGCGGCGTTCAAAGCTGGCGGAGCAATTTGGGCGGTTGTTGTCCCCTTCAGCTACAGGGTTGAAGAACTTCCCACTCCCGAAAAGGCAGAAATTGAAAAACAAGCCAACAGCGATGGCCAAGTTGGCAACTTCATTATAATAATAAATAAACAGGGTATTATGAATTGACCCTTAAACTATTATGAATTGAACTTTTAGCCCTACAACTACTATTAATTAGACAGTTTTAATCCTTCTATTAATCAAAAACGCATACTTATAACTCTTCTGTCAATTTAAGCTGTTATGTCCAAAAGAAACAGTAACAAAAGTGGCAAGAACCACCTCCACTATTCTGTTGCACTCAATGACTCACACAGTCGTTGAAAGGATTATAAGTACATCGACTATTATGAAATTAAACTTTTATCCCCACAACTACTACTATTAATTAGACAGTTTCAATCCTTCAATTGATTTAAAACGTACATTTATAACTCTTCTGTCAGTTTGAGTCGTTACGTCTAACAGAAACAGCATCAAAAGCGTCAAGAACCACCTCCATTGTTCCGTTCGCACTCAACGACTTGCTTGCATCCATAAAAGAATTACAACTATACAACTACTATGAAATTGAACTTTTAATCTTACAACTACTATTAAACAGACAGTTTTAACCCTTCAACTAATTAAAACGTATATTTATGTCTCTTGTGTCAATTTGAGCAGTTATACCCAGCAGAAATAGCATCAAAGCCATCAAGAACCACTTCCACTTAGAGCTGCAAACGAGCCGAGTCGAGTCGAGATTTGGGTTAATCGAGCCGAGTCTCGACTAAATTTTATCAAACTTGAGCTCGACGAGCTGGCAATTTAAAACTCGAGCTCGAGCTCAAAAAAAATTATTATTTTATTTTTTAAAAAATAAATAAAATAATATTTTTTCTTAATAAATAATAAAATATTAAGGATATATATGTAATTTTACTATTAAAATAAGAAATATATATATATACTTAAAATAAAAAATATATATATATACTTAAAATAAAAAATAAAATATATATATATACTTAAAATAAAAAATAAAATATATATACTTAAAATAAAAAAATATTATATATATATATATATATATACTTGAACTCGTGAGCCAGCTCGCGAGCTAACGAACTTAATATTTTGAGCTCGATTTCGACTCGAGCTCGATATTAATCGATTTCGACTCGAGCGGCTCGCGAGCAGTTCGATTCGTTTACAATCCTATTTCCACTGTTCCATTGCACTCTATCGACTAGCATCGATGATGAAAGGGTTACAAGTGTACGTTTTAATCAGTTAAAGGGGGACTAAAACAGTTGCACGTTGAAAAGTTAAATTTTATATTTAATAGTTTGAGAGCCCGCCAAAGGGACATTTTGCCCTCAAAAATCGTACGTATCATATCATCTTCTTTGGAGAGAATTATTTTTGCCTCTGTTTTCTTTCTTTTTTGGGTGGGGTTACGTTGGTCCGGTTTTGCGGCCCTGGTTGTGATGTTATTAAAAAAAGGGGGACAAAAATGATTCATTCCCAGTCATCAGTTCACCCTCGCTGCTGCAAAGTTTATCTAGTATTCATCCAGCCACGTGGCTGCCCACAGCTTCGTCTGATGAATGTATGATCTGTTTATGAGTCCCACGGGCTCCAACCCGGCCCTACCATAGCCCAACCTTATCTTTTCCACCTTCATATTTCATAACAGGCAGGAGTCAAGTCAAGCCACGCCCCTTCCCGTCTCCCCTGTCTCGTCGTCACCCTCTTTATGCTCTAGAAGCCTGGTTCTAGATATCTTCCAATATTGCTGTTCCCGTGTGCGACAACCTCACGGCAACACTCGTGGAACCTCATTTCTCAATCAGTCGTACATTGGATGTTGGATTGTGAATGTGATTGATCATAATCAAATCATGATTAAGGTGGGGAAAAAAATAAAACTTTAACTTCACAAGAGTGGAAACTAAAAATCTTGTTTGGATTGCTTTTCTTTAAAATTTATTTATTTTTTATTCGTGATATTTGTTTCTGTACATTTCTCAATCGCCTTTTAACTTCGCACATTAAAAGTATGGTAGTAATTTTTCTTTGCCCTTCTAAAAACTCTTCGAAAAAAGATGCAATCTGGACAACTTTTATTTTTCTTTGTAAACAATTGCCACATTTTGGATAATTTGGTTTTTATTTAGAATAAATGTTATATACACTGACAGTGCATGCACTATCACCGTTGGATTCATGACACGTGTGCAAAAATTAAATTTCAAATTCAAATTTTGCACGGTTGTCGTTCATCCAACGATGACAGTACATACGCTGTCGGTGTATGAAAGACTAATCCTTCTATTCGTCCTCCAAACTGCTAAATTAAGTCGCAACCAAAAGAACAAAACGTGGAACTCTTAAACATTTGTGCCTGCTATACAAGTTACTTCATGTAAGATTTCCCTTTGATTAAATGGCGTAGCATGAGGATCAAAATCATATTGTTCTAGGACTCTAATGTGAGCAAGGTCCCCATGGTTACGAGTTCAACCTAATTGGTGAACCATGTCCATGTGGGTGTTGGGCGAAAATTTCCATGTGAATCTAGTTTGATTGTACAGTTACAAAAACATAGGATTGTTAAGGATAATGAAAGAAACCAGACGACAGCAGGGGAACTTTCGTCCTACGCAACCAGCAACTTGATTGATGGATAATTACATAGAAAAGTCGAAGTGGGAAGAGAAAATGGTAGATTGAGACAACGGAGTTTACAGTAACTGTATGGATGAGGACGAGGGATGGCACCTTGTTTTTAAGTGCGCATGAATAAAAATATAGAACCAAGGAGCTCATGCTTGTCAGTTGCTCCATAATGTAAGCCATCGGCTATGCAGGAATGGCTCGTGAGTATTCCGTCCAAAATGGGATCAGGCCAGGACTTTTTTTGGATGGCGGCCAGGATGTTGAAACAGGTTGAGTTCCCATTTCTCAACCATGGACAGTAAATGAAGTTTACAAACTCAACTTTAGCTTTGGAATCGCTATAAAAGATTATGTGTTCGAAGAATTTCTTCGTTGATGTGATGACTGTATTAATGATGGGTAATTTATAGAATTCCTTCCTTATAAGCTACCTATGATGGTACCTAAAGCATGTATCGATCAGTGACGGTGATCGCAATCGAATTTTTCCTAACTTTTACTTACCAAACGAAAAGTGTTGGACCGCTAAATTGCCTAATTAGAGTATGGCAGTAGGCGAATTTCTTGAAATATTACTTATTTCAAAAAAACGTTAGAAAAGTAGTGTTGCTTTAAGATTTGTACTAAACTTAGGGTTGCCGCATTTGGCCGTGAAATATTCATTTATTTTGCCCCTCAAAGTGGACGAAACGGAATTTTTTTGTAAAGAAAAATGGTTCACCGCATGCGATAGAGCATGCAACGAACGAAAAATTTTGATCGGTCGTTGGATGCGGAGGCTTACTTTTTTTTTAAAATTTAAAATAAAATTCTCTTTTTTTTTTTAACTAAACCCTAAACCCTAATTTTTCAACCCTAAACCCTAATTTGTCTGGAATGTATTATGGTTTAAAACAAAAAATATGTTAAAAATCCGTTATTTTTTTCATCATAACCGGTGATCAACCATTGATGAATGGCTAGAAGCGAGGTTTAGATTTCATTTTAAAATACAAAAATTAATTTAAATTGAAAAAATGCCGAAGTCGTATCCTATTTTAAAATTTTTTTATTTTACGAATAATTTAAGGTACTATAAATAATGTAACATCTAACCCTAAATGTCTAATATAGCTAAATAAAAAGTATTGTCATGGATTAAAGCGCGAGACAATGCTGGGGGTGACAAACTCCATACGGGAAGGATTTCTTTTTTGGCGGGCAAGATTTCTTCGAGAAATGCTATGGATAGGGGGGGGGGGGAAGAAATTGGGGGTATAGGTCGAAGTAGAGAAATGGAAGTAAATAAATGGAGTTGTGTGGGGTGAAATGGCTGCATTTGATGAGGTATTTATAGCCAAAAATTCGCCTTGATCTGCGACTAATCGAACGGATGACAATAAAAAAAAGTGCTGATGGAGTGTATTGTCCGTTGATCAATTATGATCAATGACTAAAGGACTTCGCCGTATCTGTTTAGAGTAAATCTTTTCTACACTGACGGTGTATATACTATCATCGTTGGATTCATGACATGTGCAAAAGTTGAATTTCAAATTCAAATTTTGCATAATTATTATTCATAGTGTATACACTGTCAATGTAGGAAAGATTAATCCATCTGTTTAAGGATGTGACTATTGCCTGACGCCATAAATTCCACACTCTTAATAACGGTGCTCCAAATCTGCCGCTTTGATCATATTCTTTAAAAAGAAAATTTTCTAAAATTTGCTTTGGTCTTACATTTTTTAAAAAAAAAAAAACCTAATATAAATTGAATTCTATTTAAAGCTTTTCTCAATTGCAGCATTGTTTGGAAGTCAAGTTTATCCGCTACAAGTTTTTTAAAAATTTTACCTACAGTAACCTCAAAAAATTTTTCAAAATTTTTAAACTATACACTTTAAAATATTTAAAAAAAAAAAACACACACACACACATCAAAAAATTTTTTAAAAATTTTTACACTAAAATACAATAAAGTTTTAGACTAACAGCCGAAAAACTCACCTTCCAAGCAGCAGGGAAACACCAAATTTGTGATGATTTGTCTTATCGGCAATATTTCAAGAAATTGGCCCATGGTAGTAATATTATTGAAGGGGATAAGGATGCCAGCATAAAAATTCTCTTTATCTTCGACATAAGATAGGGAGTCATTCACAAATATTAATCCTCTCTCCAACTCCACGTCCATCAGATCACAGACTGAATGATTGTGATTATAATAGAAACCGATTCTGGCCACGTGGAACGAACCGGTCGACCTGATCCCTTGAGAAATCATCGTGTGATTCTACCGTTTTCTGTTCTGTTGCTAGTACCAGTACACCTCTCCCATTTGGCCACTGCCCAGTAGCGGCAGTCCTATAAATATCCCTCTGCAAACCGCCTTCCCACAATTTCTCAATCCCATTCTTCTGAATCTTCTCTCCCCATCTCCTGAAGCAAAGAAGCAGCTTGATTCTTTTCCTTAATTGCCGCTGTACTTCAATCTTCAATCTCCCTGATAGTAGTAGAAGTAGTAGTGGGAGAAATTACTTGTAATGGGTTCCCGAGAGTTTGTCGAGTTGATCCCGGGTCTGCCGGAAGAAATCGCTCTGGAGTGCTTGACTCGGTTGCACTACTCAGCTCACGGGGTCGCCTCCCGAGTCTGCAAGTGCTGGCTTCATCTGCTCCAGAGCAGGGATTTCTACTATCACCGCAGAAAAGCCGGGCAGACCCACAAAGCTGCCTGCTTCGTTCAGGCCCTTCCTGTTCCCTCGGAGTCCAAACCGCTGGGCCCCCCGAGTTACGGGATCTCCGTTTTCGACTCGGTCACCGGGACCTGGGACCGAGTCGACCCGGTTCCCAGGTACCCTGCTGGGCTGCCCTTCTTCTGCCAGATTGCCAGCACCGAGGGGAAGCTCTTCGTCATGGGCGGGTGGGACCCGTCGACCTGGGACCCGGTCAGGGACGTGTTCCAGTACGAGTTCACGACTCGGAGGTGGACTCAGTGCGCGGACATGCCCTCCACCCGATCGTTCTTCGCGGTGGGCGCGGTGGAGGGGCGAATCTTCGTCGCCGGAGGCCACGACGAGAGCAAGAACGCGCTGAGCTCGGCGTGGGTGTACGACATCAACGGGAATGAGTGGAGCGAGCTGGGGCGGATGAGCGAGGAGCGAGACGAGTGCGAGGGGACGATCATCGGGTCGGAGTTCTGGGTGGTGAGCGGGTACGATACGGAGACGCAGGGCGGGTTCAAGAGCAGCGCCGAGTGGTACGAGCTGGGAACGGGTGAGTGGAAGCGAGTGGAGGACGGGTGGAGGGTGACCCAGTGTCCGAGGTCGTGCGTCAGGGTGGGAGGCGAGGGGGAATTGACAAGCTGGGCCGAGTGCGACTCGGCTGTGCGAGTCGGTGCATGTGGAGTTGACCTGGGGGAGAATGCCCTGGTCACGGGCTCACCTTATCAGGGTGCGCCCCATGGATTCTTCCTGGCAGAGAGGAGCAGAGGAGGGCAAAATGGCAAATTCACCAAGCTGGACGTCCCTGACGAGTTTTCTGGATTTGTTCAATCCGGTTGCTACGTGGAGATTTGATTTGAGTCTCTCTTTTTCTTTTTTTTTTGGGGCTCTTTTTTTTTTTGTATTTTAAATATCGGGATTTTTTTTCTTTCTTTTTCTTTCTTTTTTTAAGAAAAAAAGCCGGTATGACAAATGCAAACTAATATAAATAGTAGTAGTAGTAGTTTTAGTGAAGCAATTAGTAGGGAGTAAAATTTCTACGGTGGTAGCTAGTAAAATGACAAAGGGTAGGAGGAGCAAGAGTGATGAGTGATGGGGATGAAAAAAAGGTTTGTGAAGTAATTGGGCCTTTGTATGATATTATATTATAAGCCCTCAATTTTAATGCAATTGAATTGATGATACTTTCATCTGTTTCTTTGCCTTTTTTGGGTGCTTGCCTTGTCCTATTCATATCTTGAATTTTCTTTGAACCCTTTTTGGCATTTGCACAGCACATGTAGATCACTTTTACAGATTCTGATTTAAATCTCCTTTTTTTTTTTCTTTTGGAGAATTGACGAGTTTTATATAACAAAATAAAAATTTACACACCCTAATCGTTAATTTTTTCCTCTTATCTTTCTTTACAATTCTAAGAAAAGCAGGGTGAAATTTTGATTAAAAAATAATTTTATCAACTCTATTGAGATAACGAGTTATAAAGCTAGCAGTTTGATTACATTGGCGATATACAAAAAAAAATAATCAGCTCCTTGAAAGATGAGATTAAATCTTTTATATCAGAATATACAACTAGAGCCTTCCAAGGACAGTCAATTTTGCTATTTAAAATATCCGCAGCAAGAGCCTTCCTGTTTGCTTTCTCTGCTTTTCATGCCTTCCTTTTTTAGAAAAAAAAAAAAAAGAATTTAGGGAGGAACATTAATTATGTTTTACTGCTTAATCAGGGCCTAAACTTTTGTAGTCTTTAAGACTTGGTGGGGTAGAAGGTTAAAAGTTGAAACTTGTCTCCCACCACTTGCCACTTCTAAGTGGTTTAAATTTAATGCGAATGCGTAGTACATTCGTCTAATTTGATAGTTTTCGTATACTTAATAGGTCCGGTTGGACTCAACTCTGTCCCTAAAATAGGTTGGAGTAGGAGTAGGTGTAGAGTAGATAAGTGACGATTAAAAAAAAATTAGGACCTAAATTATTTAGGTGGCAGAAAATAATATGGAAGAGAAATATTATTGAATCCTTAGGCATTAAAGTCATTATTTTTCTTACCATTTTTATGTTTTTAACATCATTTTCCATCCCTTTCCCCTTCCCACATTGTCGAGAATTCTAAGAATCCTCAATTATATTATGTTTCGATTGACAAATAGATATTTACATATGAGTTCACCTTCGTCACACTTAATTTTGTTGCATTTTTGTGACGGCTTTGCTCTGCTAGAAATGCAGGCCACACGATCGCATGCTTTTTTGTGATAAAAACTACACAGTAGCATTCTTTAGCCTTTCGAGGGAGTTGGATACTTTTGCTGCGTTTCGTACTTAAAAAGGACCAATATTTAGGCCCCACGCTATATTCGCACTTTTATGCTGGTACGGATAACCGACGGCATGGATCAAAGCCCATGTCTAGTCTAGAATAGATTAAGGCTCACACTTAGGTACGCGATTAACCGACGGCTGCAATTAAACCTGTCGCACATGATTTCCCACAATAATAGATTGCTGTAAAAAGTGCAATTCGTGTAAATCACGGTCCTAATCACAACTCGTTTTAGATGATTTTTAGTTACTAGGTGAAATTTAAAAGTTATAGGAATTTAAATCTCTGCACTTGCAATAAAATTTGAAAAATTTGAAGGGTGTGTGACAGTGTGCACCGTTTCAATCTAGAGGTTGGAACCATTCCGTTTAATCTTTCTTGGCTGAATTAGCCCCTCTTTTAGATAGGTTAAGAGTACGAGTGGGAGTAGGATTAGTATAAAAGCTGCTGATTGACAAAAAGGGAAAAAAAAAGTAAACCATGATCCCCTGGATCATAATGTAGTACGAAAATAAGTAGTAGATCGTTAAATTATTATCTTTCCTTATATTTATATATTTTCTTTATTTAAACTTACATACCTTTTACATATATTTATTTATTTTTTTAATTAATTTTATATTTATAAAAATATGACACTTAAAATATATCTTAACGACTGTCCTGCGAGCGCTCGTCAGACAGACCGTTTGTCTTACTGTAGGCATAACTATTGCAGCCGCATTTTAACACAGTGGGACTTGGGAGCACATGCTCTGTAGGAGTAGTAGCCCCGTAAGGTACAAGAAAGAACATTCTCTTGGCTGCTGCCTCTGGGATTGCTTTCATCACTCAAACACAGGCAGCAAATTTGGGTATTATCCGCAATCAGTGCCCCTTCTAATCCAACTCTCTTTCTAGGAGAATTAATGCTAGTACAAGTTTGTTGATATATCCATGAATCCATCTACTAAAGAGCAGAAATGAGACGTGGGGAGCTGTTTATAAATGTGGAAAAAACACAAATTCTCTTACTGTGTTGCGTTGGCCTTGACTCTTGACTAAGTAAATGGGAGATTTTGGAAGATGCCCAAATCAGAGTTTCTTTTGAAAATGTTAATAAGACAATCGATCAGGCAGTTGAATTGAAGTTCAACTCGATCAAGGGTGGGATTTACTCGACTGCTGAAGAACTTGATTGCTCACAATTTGTCTTTGACCCGTTATACACGTCACAGATCGATTTCTGATTGTGATTGCTGGTATATATATAATCTTTTCTATACTGACAGTGTATACAGTACAGTGTCAGCGTTGAATGAAAGACAACTATGCAAAATTTAAATTTAAAATTTAATTTTTACACACATATCATGATGATCAAACGGTGACAGTATATATACAGTCAATATATATATATATATATATATATATATATATATATATATATATATATATATATATATATGCAAGACCTGTCATTGTTTGTATTCAACTCGTTAATTTGTTTCAGCTCTTCAAGAAAGAAGTCATTCTATTGTGTAATTGACCTGAAGAAGTCCGCCTGGCGTTCTTGAATTCATCTTGGAATTCTCATGTCAGATTTCGCACATCTTGACCACCTTTTTTTTTTTTTTAACAGTCTGATAGAGGCAATTGTACACCTCGACAAGTTTTCTGCAACGCCAACACTGATACACTGATGATGCTATATATAGTAGTTTTTAATGGTTGAATGGATCAAAAGGGTCACCATTCCTTCCAATTATCTCAATAAAACCAGGTCAATGACGACTATCCAAGTAGAAGATTGGACCCAATCCTTCCCCCTTAGCCTTAAAAAATTCCGAAGCAGATCGATCAATTTCTAATTTCAATAATGATTTTCCTCCCAAGGCAGATGAGGGGAAAAAGACTCCATTTCTTTCAAAGATTTTTAATATAATTAAACACAAAAATCATTATATAGCCATCTCCTTCGAAGGGCAAATAGTAGTATGACATGCACCTGCACCCGCTGATTCAGGGCACGGACGGTTGCACCAGGCGATTTTGATCATTATCAACTGCGCGTAACTTTTTTTGTACATCGTGTAACTTTTCTTGCACATCGCGTAACTTTAGAGCAAATTTTTGTGGGACCCACACATGACGTGAAAATCGAGTTATAACTTGTAATCTCAGCCGCACAAATTTTTGAGGCCAAATCATGATCATTAACCGTTCAGGGACGGTTGCAGGTGTCCCTGCCCCATTTCGTGCACCTGCACGCAGATAAAGACATCGTACAATGCACTCAGATTGAACCCACCAATCACAAAAATGAGTGGTTCTTACTATAGATTTCAGATTCCCCCTTTTTTTTTTTTCTTTTTTTTTTGTCGGCTGCTTGCAGCAATTTGAAGTCAAGTGGGGTGGGATGATTTTTTTTCAAAAAAATATATAAAAATAAATAAAGCGATTGTCATTTAAACTAGTAGTAATATTTTTGGTCTATTGGATGCCAAGAAGCCACACACATTATTGTAAACTTTGCAAAATTAAAAGAATAGTCTTAAAATATTTTTACAAATTTTTATGTCTCTATTATGGTGCAATAGCCCTGTAATAAGTAGAAAAAAAAAAAACAAAAAAACAAAAATCATTTTCTTTTTAATATCTCTCTCACAGAACAGACGTTTTGAAACTATTAAAATTGATTATTATTTGAATAAAGAATAGTTTTGATGCTTCCAAAACACAAAATCTCAACAACAAGAGACGACAATCAAACCAGAAGAATTTAAGAGGATGCCCACCAGGCCGCCATCATCTTCTTTATCTCGGTCCTTGAGTGGGTGGGAAGTGAAAGCTTTCAATAACAATAATAAATTAATGTCATTGGCTCGAGACTGATAAAAAACCGGCCAGGGATGTCTTTCTTCGTTCTACACTGTTGATGTCGGAAAGCTTTAGAAAAAAGTTAAATAGTAGAGGTATATATCATTGATCATTCATAACACACATTCACTACACGTACACAATCCATTTCATATTTTATGGACGCGTCACGTCGAATGGTTGTCTTGACCAGCTGCTACTGTTTACCCCCGGCGCAACCCATCACTCTGCAGCTGGGGTCGCGAAACAACTGTAAATTATTCTCCCAACCACTCGTTCTCTCGAATTCTGCCTGAATCAGAATCAGAATCAGAAGCTTATGGTGCCGGCGCCTTACCTTCCTTCCTTCCTTCCTATTCTTATGGTGTAGCAACAGAATAAGCTCCTAAATTGCCCGCGACTCCGGTGAATCAAACCCATCGCCTAATCACTGAATATACTCCAGGTCTTTACTCCGGTACTAACCGAGCATGGCAACCAAAGGAGGGACTTTAGTTCCTCCCTGTGCGCAGGTCAGAGGGTTGAACCCCCTAACTGACACTTTCATCTCCAAAATTTCTTGGAACATGGCCTGAAGCCTCTCAATAGATTCAATAGGTCCATCTACCTCCTCTATATACCCCAATATAGGACTCTGATGTTTCACAAAATTCGCCATCCCAATAAATTTATAAAATAAAATAAAATAAAAAACTCCGGTACCGCACTTTAAAGTACTAGTCTGAAAACAAATCAATTGGAAAGGGATGCAAGACCTCATGCCTGTTGTCCTCTCCTTCAGGGAGGAGAGGGTCCAAGGGGAACGAAATTCCTCGAAACAGCCTCAAAAGATGAGGGAAGTAAAACTAGGCAAAAATAAGTTCGAAACATAAAACAAGAACTGAGTGGGAGGAAAAAACCATCAATTCAGCTTTCTAACCTGCAGGAACTTAAATAAAATACATCCTGTGCTCAAGTGTATAAATGAACAAGCCTTCACTATTAACATAGCTGAAGAGAACAGACTCAATAATAATCCAGGAGTACTACATCCCATAAACCTGCCTTCCGGTGATCAAGCCCCCCTCATCTCAATTCACCAACCCAATTACATCGAGTAACCTTCAGAATCCAGGCTCCGGCTCCGACTCCAACTCCGGCTCCTTGAGCCATAAGGAGACCTTGAGTAAGACCTTTTCCTGTACCTCCGATCTCGAGGAGAAATGGACCTGTATTAGACATTTTACGTCTCAGTATCGTACAACATCGTCATGCTTATTGATCCTGGTTTAGCCAACTTACAAGGAAACTCCCTACCTCGAATAATACCTTCGTTGAGGAGATGGTGAATAATAATCAGGAGTACGGGAATAGGTCCGAGAAGAAAATGGTGATCGAGAATAACGAGGTGGTGACCGCCTCCTATCATAAGACCGACCCCTGAAACATGATTCACCACAGACAGACATTACTTTCAAAGGATCAGGAAATCACTGAAATACATCAAACCTGTACGTTCACAATGAACATAGCCTCCCTCAGCATTTGTGTATTCTTGGGCAATCATATTTACAAGATTCACCTGTAACGTTCTCTAGCCCTCATTTCTGATGGTTTTTTCCGGTTTTCCTCAGCAAACACAACAGTTAGCTCACGCCCACGAAGAACCTGGCCATCCATCTGATATTTGGCTTCAGCTGCATCAGCAGGGTCTACATATTGCACAAAACCAAAACCCCTTGGCTCCCTGCATGTTTGTGTGTCAGAGATGTGGGAAAACAAGAAGTTAACGTTAATCATTAGATTAAAATATATATTTTTGTACCAAAATAACACCACTTTCCATCCAGATTCATAATTATAAGAAAACACAAGTTATTTTGCTGGAACTCACCCAGCAAGAATTCAAACAAAGCAATTACATGGCTGCTAACCTCCAAGATTCAAGACTTGAACTTCTTCATAGTTTGTATTCAAACCCAACTTCCTTCATCTTCATGTATTAAGATCATCTTGAACAGAACTCTAATTACTTCATGTCTTCACCACTTTAAAAAGAAAAACCAAATTCCCTTGAAGCAATTGTCCACAAGAAAGAAAGGGCACACACCAGATGGGAAAAAGTACTTTTTCGCTATTATAATATATTCAAATACGTCAAAATTCTTATGTTCAATTCCTCTAAATAAAGTAGTTTTTGATAACTAATGCGATTCTTACCCTGTATAGTAATCACGAGGCAGATAAACGTCCTTCAAGAGACCAAATTCCCCAAATGGCCCACGAAGATCTTCAGGCCTGCAAGCACCAGTCTTTAGCTTTTGGAAAACAAAAGAACATTAATTAAAAGCACTAGTACTCAGTTCTCACTCCACTGAGTGTATTTAGAAGTAGGGCAGTGGGTGAGCAGTTAACATACAGAAACACCATTAAAACTATTTCTTTCAACCTTTGCTGTGAAGGAAATATCATTTTTGTACAAGGGTTGGCAATGGAAAATCATCAAATATGACTTCCTTGTGCTCCATATATGAAGAAATCAGCTCACAAAAACATTAACAGCGTGACATACTTTCCAACCCATCTCTAAGAACAAATAAGTTCCACATGTTCAATCCTGTAACTAATCAAATTTTACCCAACATCTAGTAAATCTTTCACAGAGAACAGACATGGGATGCCCACCTTCTGATAGTTAGCATCCTTAGGCCTCTCTCTATCCAAAAGAAGCCCAACTCTAGTCTTGTCATGAAAACGACTTGAGCTAGCTTAAGACTACTTTTTCCAACCAAGTTCTTAAGCCAAAAACAAAACGCCAACCCAAATTTGTTTTCAAATTGTTCTAAATTACTTTCTCCACTCTAATTATCTATGAAAAACACATGAAATTAGAACAGAGCAGCACTAGTATAACCAATACTACTTTTTTCAACCAAGGTTTTCCAATCCATCTCAATTTTAGACAGTATTCCAATGACACACAATGAACATACCTACAGTCACGGCGAAGATTACGGACCAAGAGACTAGTAGGAAGATCTCTCCCACGACCTCCATAGCGACCTCTTGGGCTAGGGCTCCGGTATCTCCTGCTGTAACCCCTTGGAGGGGAAGGACTGTAACTATAACTTCTACCCCTCATTTGTCAACCTGTTTTTCAATCAAGATGGGAAACATCAGTTAACACAAGCACAGTTTCACCAGTAAACAAAAGTAAAAACTTAACTAACCACACGACCATACAATTTAAAGTCTGGGTACAAAGAACTTGCATAGCATGCACACAAGAACCCGCAGAGACACACATACACAACACAAAAAAGTATGAATATCTACAAAGTAGATGAACTAAAATCATATGAGCCCTATATGATTTTCTCTTCTATTCACCATAACCTACTAGATCCCATATATAAACTCAAAGAAAACGACATAAAAATGCAAAAGTTACCAGTTTTGTTGTCTTCCAATTGCACAAAACAAACAACAGAAAAACACAACTAATAAAACATGTAGTTCCCTGAAAGAGGAAAAAAAGGCATCAAAATTATGATTGTCTGGCCGCAATTTTATTTACCTTTCACAGTTTAAGCTACAGGAATTATGAAGCCTCAATTATCATCTAAAGAATAGGAATAAACGAATTTACGAATTGTCTTAACCATCTTAATAAAGATAATTTCAGTGGATAAAATAAAAAACAAGACAAAACAAATGAAGAATTCAAATAGCAACCTCAGCGATCTGACATAGAAAAATTTTTTTAAAAAAAAAGAAGAAGCAAACAATCAGTCGGAAATCAAATCAATCAGCGGAATAAAACAAGAGCATGGATAAATGAAATCGAGGAAGAAATAGAGGATGAATATGAATAGATCAAACGAATTACCGTAACGATCAGGCGAGATTAATCGAATTTCTGGACTACTATTCCCTTTTTTTTTTTTTTTTTCCCTGTCTGAACTCTGAAGAAAGCTATGGTAGGTGGGGACAGGTGGGTCGGTATTTGTGTGGTTGGAGTTTCTCGAGAAGCTTCTACAGATGGTAGCGTTGTTAATGGGCCAGATTTCTGTATATGTTTGGAGTGGGCCCAGTTATTCGACTAGGTCCTTCCGAAGATGCTAGGCGCTAGCCGCTGGTGTTGTACTAGTATTATTTAAAGGGTTAAGAACTTAACATATATTTCAATTTCAAGTGTCATATTTTTTAAAATATAATAGTAATTAAAAAAAGTAAATAAATACAAAAAAATGATAGGTAAGGTTGAATAGAAAAAGTATGTAAATACAAAAAAAAAATTGTAATATGTGTATATATATATATATATGGCAGATTAGATGAATTATATATATATATATATATATTAATGAGTGTCCAGTATGCACTTGTTAAAAAAATCCTTATTTGATAACTAGTCTCCCTTTTTTTTTTAGTGCAACAATTTTACAATTGGTCCTATAATTAGAGGAAGGAAGGGGGATAGGGATGGACCCAATTAAATTATTAAAAATTCAAAAGGAACTAAACTACTTCCCAAAATGTTCCACTAAATTATGCACGAAAAATGTGGAACCTCTTACCTACACTCTAGGAGTTGTCTCTCCCGGGTGGCCAACTAACTTAGTTGGTTAGTCTCTCTTTTTTAGGGATAATTTCATAAACCTCTCCTGAGGTTTTTGATAATTTCACTAGCCTTCCTTGAAATTTTTAAAATTACACAAACCTCCCTTGAAATTAAGGTTTTGATAACAAAATTAGACCAATTAGAAAAAGTAACATTAAAAAGATACTTTAAGAAGTGAGATGAAACTTTAATTCCATAGATACTCCTTGTGCATGTATATAAGTTGTATTAATGAAAGTTAGAAACAACTAATATACACATTTTACCACTCAAAAATTTTGCCTTTTTTTCCCTCCTTTCCTCCATTAGGTATATCAACTGATATTATTTTGTAAATACAAGTCATCGTTCATTATTAAAGAAATTTTCAACTGTTATTTTTGTTACTTAGTTACTAATAGTTAATTTGTGTTCTAATTACTTGATTATTAGATATTAGTAAAGAAGAATGAAAGGAAATAAAGGCAAATTTTGAAAATTTTTTCTATCCAAAATCACAGGAGTTATAGTAACATCATATCAAAAGAGATGACTAATTTGTTTTGTTGAATCTTGTGATTATTAGTGTAATTTTGTTACTTACTTGTGTTATCTAATTTATCAAATGTGAACTTTTTGAGTGATGAAATGTGTGTATTAATTATTTCTAAATTTTAATTATTTTTATTCTTTTATAAATACAATTAATATACATGCATATGGGGTATTTATGAAATAAAAGTTTTATTTCTCTCCTTAAAGTACTTTTTTAATGTTACTTTTTCTAATTGGATTAATTTTGTTATCAAAACGTTAACTTCAGGGGAGATTTATGCAATTTTGCAAACTTCAGGGGAGGCTAGTGAAATTATTAGAAACCTCAGGGGAAGTTTCTGAAATTATCCCCCTTTTTATTTTCAATAACATATAGATAGTCTAATTTTACTAAATAAGCTCTAGGTAATTTTTAAAGTACGGTGGTTCCAGCCGATGTTGAGTAAAAATATTTTAATAATTGTAAATTAGGTGAATTTTAGATATATTAACGAGTGCCCAATGATCACCCGTCAGAAAAATCCTTATTTAACAGCTAGTCTCCCTTTTTTTTTTAGTATAACATTTTTACAACTGGCCAATGTTGGATTGCAAGTTACGTGTTATATAAGTATGTGATATTTTCTCGGATCTTGTTATGCTTTTCTAGATTCTAACCGACCAATAAAATGGCGATTTGAAATGCAGAGACTGATGCATAATTCCACATATAATAGAACAAGGCGCATGGGTAGTTCCAAAAAGTGACAATTTTTTTGGAGTTTCTTGGTGTTTCTCAGCGCTTTTAGGGTAAATTTGGTGAACTAGTACTTTTCTTTTTCCTTGATTGAGCAAGTGTTCTTTTTTTCTTGTTCGTTTGTAGTATACATGAGGCTTCAAACACCATTCTTCGATTTCAGAAGTTTTTTTTTTAAATTTGGTGTTTATATTATTCATGGGGCTTCAAGCGCAATGCTTTGATTTCAAAAGCTGCCTAAATCTGCCGAAATACAGAAATAGGTCTAGTTAATTGGAATAATTTATTTATTTAGACTCCTAGTTCTCTCCCTCGGTGACATTATTGTTTCTTTCCCCCCCACTTTTGAGGAAAAAGAAATATATACATTTTGTCATGATACATAAAAAAAAAGTTTAGATATATATGTTGTATTGTATCTTGTATTAGCGAATATAATTTCAAGTTGAAAAACATAAATTAACTAAAACAAAGAGAAAATTGGACACAAGAATGTCAGAGAAAATGACGAAGAAGAGAGAACATTAAAAATTGAGAAACCTTATTGCACTATGGCAAAGTAGTATCAAATCAAAAGGGATTTGAATATTAGACACTTGAATAGCTTAATACCTATCAAGTGAAAAAAAAAATAGATTGGTAATTTTTCAATTGTTGAATATAGTAGTATAAGCTAGCAGGGAAAATTTTATGTCGGTTCGGAACAACTAATAGATGCCTAATAGTTGTTCATGAATCAATGAAAGAGTTTCTGAACCAACTACTAGGTATGTTTAATAGTTATTCCAGGTCGACATAAAGCTTCTCAGGTTAGGCTAGCAATGCATATTAATTCGTCTTTGAGTTTTATACATCTCTAACACTAGTTACAGAAACACAAATCCGTTTTACGCTTTCATATAGATTGTAGTAATTAAATCTGTGTCTAATCAATTATGGGAACTCAAAAATGGTCAAAATCAAGTAGTAATATGATTCTCATGCCAACCATCACTTGCGAAGTGGGTAATTTCACTCGAGTATGGATCCCATCTGCTCCGACCATTGCATAGTGACCGTTGAGTGTTGCGTAAAGTTGATTGGTTTTCTGTAATGAATGAATTGAAACCTACCCACGCTTTTGTTGATGCATATTAGATTTCAAGGGGCATGAGCACGATGCTTTGATCATAACTAGATCATCATTTCATAGTTGATTGAAGTGCAATGTTAACATCAACATCGTCGGTTTGCTTCTATTGGTGAGCAAATTGGTTGGGAAAAATGATAATGCAAGAGCTTCATAACTGGAGCCTGGAGGAGCAATTAATGCAGATTTCAGGGCTACTATATGTAGGGCTGATGCTGAACCGAGTAGCTTGCGTCGAGCTCGCAAGCTACTCGGTCAGCAGCTTGACTCGAGCTCGTTTTGACCGAACTCAAATTCAAGCTCGTTTTGACCGAACTCGAATTCAAGCTCGAGCTGCTTGATAGAAGCAACGAGTCAAGCTCGAGTTTCAATATTTTGCACTCGAAAGCTCGACGAACCTAATCGAGTTTTTTATGATATATATTTTAATTTTTATTATTGTGAAATGTCAATAATATCTTTTATTTAAAATTATATATAAAATATTAATTTTTATTACTTGAGCTTGATTAGGTTTGACTGAGCTCGAATAAGCTCGATTGAGCTTAATTTGAATTAATTACATTTAATTAAACTCAATCTCAAGTTCAAACTCGAGTAACATAAATTGATGTCGAGTTCAAACTCGAGCTCGAATTTTAAAAACTTGACGAGCTTGAGCTCAATCTCGAGTTTAGTTATTTTACCTCAAGTTGCACTACTCGAGCTCGACTCGATATGAACGCAATCCTAACTGTATGTATATGAGATGAGTGAAAATAGGTGATAATTTGGACGAGTTTGGACGGGTTATAAATTACTTATAGGTATAACTGGCTCAACTCATTCATATCCATTTAATAAATGAGTCTAAATGAGTCAGTCTATTTATACCTATTTATCACATGGGATTCTTTGTCCAATATTTTGTGTTCACTTTCCTATCTAATGTAAAATTACGTAGTTTACTTATTATATCTACTGATGTGGCACATAAAAATAGGTGGTTGTTTGGCTGCGTTATACTTCTTCTTCTTCCATATACAAAAGCTGATGTGGCACATAAAAATAGGGAAGAAAAAAGAATTCATCCACCAAGTAGTCAAAGTTCCAATCCCTCTTCTCTTCCATATGCTTTTCAAACATTTAACTGAAACGTGACGCCGGAATCAACAGGTGGATCACGGCCAACCGTTGACTGCATTTACTGAGAAGTGGTCCATTTCTTTTACGGCCATAAGGGATTGGAATTGATAACATGCTGTATATTTACTCCAAAAACATGAAAACAAAAGCAAAAACAAAAACAAGAAAGTGGTCTCCGTCCATGATGCTTCTTCTCATACGTCCTTATCAGAATCAAGTGCAGGGAATTCTTTATAAATAGTCGTCCCGATTGCTCTCATTTCCCTCAGAACATAATTCGAAGATTTTATAGACTTATAGTGATGCTACTTTTGTCAAAGACAACAGATCTTGCTCTCTAGTCTCTAGTTAGAAAAGAAGAGCTTCTTTTAGCTGTTTTTTTTCCTCATTTTTGAAAGAATCAGGAAAAGTTTTGTATCGACT